CCTCTAAATCCCATGTTTTATGTCCGAATATGACAAATGATACATCATTAGAAAGCTCTTGTGCTCTACTTTTAGAATCTGCAAAAAATTGCAAATTTTCAAAAATTGAATTTTTAACGCAAAATCCAGTTGTATAGCACAGTAAAAATGTTTGGAAAAAAAAAAACCTGATTTTTAATCAAGAAAAACTAAAAATGTGCAAATTTCCTTTGACAGATTGTTTGCAAAAAATTTGCAATTTTTTTCGCAAAACTTGTGCGATCCGTTTCCTTATGTCATAGGCTTTCCAAAAAGCTAAATTATTTCAAAATCTGGCAAGTGAAAGTGGGTCAAAACAAAGATTTAGTTTATTACAGGCAAAAACAGTCATTCAGGCAGTGTGCCTGAGGACTCAGGCAGTGTGCATGAGGACTCAGGGAGTTAGCATTAAAGCCCGGTTTTAGGCCTAAAAGGAGGGCTTTGGAATTGTAAGAAAATTTCAACAGCCTCAGACCAATACTTTTTGAGTTATGTGAAAAAAACTACAGGGGGGGTCAGCCAAATTGACCCCCCCCCCCCCAGCAGGAATAGGGTTAAGATAATAAATTTAATCCATTAATTGTTTGAATAATATTTTAAACTTTTTAATTCTACAGTTTGATGGAGCTCTAGATAGGATTGGAAGTGAAATCGAAGAAGATCAAAAAGAGCAGGTGAACAACTTTTTTCATAATCAGAGCGTAAATGTTTTTGAAATAAAAGTGATGTTTTTTACCGCTTTTTGACCAACATTACCGACCTGTGATTCCCCCTACATAGGGAGGTTAGGTTGCTCAGTGTCCCTTGGAACAATTAAGTAAAATAACCACCAGCTCTGCGAAGCTTTCGTTACAAAATTCGCGCATTTTTTTCTCAAAAGACGATAAAATTGTGTGCAACTTTTTTCCGGGAAATTACAAATTTTACTTAAAGGGACTGTGAAGGAAAAATGAAAGAGGGTATAGGCTAAAAGCTAATCACTTTGGCTCTCGATCACGACCCATGAAAGTTATATCTGATGTTCCTATCTCGAGAAATTGATATGCAACTTTGTCAAATTTATACGAAAATTAATATATATATACAATTTTGTATAAAAGTAGTGGGTTTAAATAGATCAAATTCAGCAAATATGCAACCAATCTGAAAGCGATGATATCCCAGAGAAAGCTAATTTTAACTTAGGTTTACTCCAATTCTAATTTTATATTTGTTATTTCTATTTTTAATAGATTTAATTCATAAAATCATCGTATTACTTGACCAGAAATTCCACTAATGGCAGTGCAGAAAAGTGGTCACGTGATACAGACGGAGACACGTGACCAGTATACTGCTCTGCCATTGGTGATAGTTCTTGTCACGTGATTTAAGTTTAAGATTTTCAAAATTTTACATATATGGACTTTCGCATAATTTTAACACAGTTTTATATCAGTTTCTCGAGACAGGAACATCAGATCAAACTTGAATGGATCGCGATCAAGAGCTAAAGTGATTAGCTTTCAGCCTATACCCCCTTTCATTTTTCCTTTACAGTCCCTTTAACCACGATTTCTCATATAGGAACTAAAGTTCCCTGAATTTCCCTGTAAAGTAGTTGTAAAAATTACTAATTTGAAAAGAAAGTTTTTCAGATATCTATCTTAATTAAACTTTCAAAAACATTAATCCATGAATAAAATTTGAGCGAAATAATAAAAAAAGTCTCTAAATTTGAATCGTTTCAGGATGAAAGCGGTCTGCTGTAAGTGCAAAACTACACACTGAAATAAAAGAAATGTTGACCTAAAAAATTTATACAAAATTTTAAATAAATTTAAATTAGATACTTATATTTCATGTAATACATAACAATGTTGAATAAATGAATACATAGAATCAAATGTAACGAGCAGAATTTACAGTGAAATGTTGAAAAACTAATGTAAAATCTCAATTAGAATTTTCACGAAGTGGCGATTTTTTCACGCAAATATAGCGCTATTTTCGCGCAAACCTTTTTTTTGTGAATTTTTGTGGTATTGTACATTAAGATGCATGTGTTTTCTAAAAAATGACAATGAGATGACAATTATAAATTGAATTTCATTTCCCATTACCGGTTTTTTTGTTCTCTTCATTATAAAGACATCCGTAGCAAAATTTCTTAAAAGTATGAAATGGAATAGTGAACAAAGAAAACAATGAAAGTCCTTAGAAATTACAAAGATTTAGAAATCAACAGAATCTTGGAGCTAGTGGTTCTATGGTTGGAAGCTCAAATGTCGATCAGAGTTTTGCCAATAATTTTTTTTTTAAAAGCTAAAAACTTTGACAATTGCTTTATCTTGTTCTATCTATCTATCCGTCATATAAATATATTTTGTATATACAGTATCCTTATGTTTGCATAGCATGAAACTAATGTTGATTCAAACTGATTCAAATCCTGTGTTAAATAATTCTTTTCTCATATTTGTATTTATATATTTTAGTTATTGACTATCCTGGGGGTAACAAAGGATAAACAAATTCGATTGTTTTCAGCTAGTTGTCCTATAAAAGTCTAAAGCTAAAAAAATCAGAAATAAAAAAGTAAAAAGAAAAGTCGAATGGTATGGCGTTATGACACTTCAAAGTCGACCCAGTCTTGAACAATAATGTAGCTTTGCATTGCAGTCTGGATCTACGTGTTTATTAAATGGTATTTTTGTATACTGAGGTTTAATACTTTTCCATCGTTTAGACTAAATATAATTTGTTACATCAAGAATAAATCACTAGGCGTGTTAATCGTCTTTAAAAACGATCGGAAAAACGATGTGTCACAAAAAAACGAACCATAAGCTCGTTTCGAACAATTAAACAACGAATGATCCGATCGTTTTCTTAAAACTTGATTGTTTATAGAAGAAAAAATCGTTCATGAATATGAGTTTTATGACAATTAATTACAATTTTTTCAGGAAGAAAAGTTTATGAATGTTTTCTTAAATGTTTTTTTTTTGGGAGAAATTACATGAATGTTTTGAACTAAGATTTCATCTAAGAAATTGTCTGACCAAAAAATGTATTTTGTCTATAAAAGGTCGTTTAAGATCGTTAAAAATTTCAAAACGACCGTTTCGTTTACGTTTATAATTCGTCGTTATTAAAAAAGTGAAAACGAACAATACCTACTTGCATGGCAGCAAGTAGAAACAAGTTCAAATAAAGAACGGAATATGGCTAAATAATGATATCATTGTATTATTATTATATCAAAACAAAGAACAAAAATCCAATTATAATTTGATCAGTGTTTAATTTCATATATCATATTTTTTATTCACGTAGCTAGTTATATATCCATAATTAGTTTTTTTGTATTTGACTTGATTGCAACATCGAGAAAACTATTGTTTTACGAAGATACTATATTTTTTCCACAAAATCTGATAAACATCTTATATCTTTGCAACCAAATGGTGTAGACCTTGATATTTCAAACTGTGAATTCTAAGTAAAAATAGCAATGGCTAACACTATCTGGTTGCAAAGATATAGGGATCAGAAAATTTGATGTTGTGGCAAAAACTCAATTCTTTTCCTTAAAAAAGTTAAAATTTTGAATTGAATTTAAAATTGTGTGAAACATTAGACATCATGAATATTGATCATAAAATATCTAGATGAATAAACAAATGAATTAATAATTGTTTTAAAAGATAAACAAACTAAATTAGAATTATTTATAACGCAAATTGACGTGTACTTAATTTTAAGTGGCCATTGAATTTACTTATTGAATCTTTTTACACATTTCTTCTGCGCAAAAAAATCATATTGACAGTCCTTTTAACGAACTTATTATTATGTAAGGTTCGTTTGGGAGCATAAAATTTTTCGTTTGGGAGCAAAACATTTTTTTTGTTTGGGAGCATACAATTTAAATTGGAATCCTGAAAATCTTGCAACATTTTATAAAGTAATTTAAAAAAAAATGAAATAAACATTCGATCAATCAATCTATGTGACCAATATGGCTGAAGAACCCACTTAAATATTCTTAGTTATTTCTCTGAAGCTCTGTGCTGTGAATCTTTGAATCAAGAATTATACTTTATCTTTTTCAAAATTACAGAATAAATTGGTTTCTCTTCGATATTCCGTAGTAATCATACCTTGCAGGGATATCCCGTAGTGATCATACCTTGCAGGCATATCCTGTAGTAATCATACCTTGAAGGGATATCCCGTAGTAATCATACCTTGCAGGGATATCCCGTAGTGATCATACCTTGCAGGCATATCCTGTAGTAATCATACCTTGAAGGGATATCCCGTAGTAATCATACCTTGCAGGGATATCCCGTAGTGATCATACCTTGCAGGCATATCCTGTAGTAATCATACCTTACAGGGATATCCCGTAGTAATCATACCTTGCAGGGATATCCCGTAGTAATTATACCTTGCAGGGATATCTTGTAGTAGTCATACCTTGCAGGGATATCCTGTAGTAATCATACCTTGCAGGGATATCCTGTAGTAATCATACCTTACAGGGATATCCTGTAGTAATCATACCTTGCATGGATATCCTGTAGTAATCATACCTTGCAGGGATATCCCGTAGTAATCATACCTTGCAGGGATATCCTGTTGTAGTCATACCTTGCAGGGATATCCTGTAGTAATCATACCTTGCAGGGATATCCTGTAGTAATCATACCTTGCAGGGATAACTTTAATTGAGGGATCCATTAATAATATCCTCATTTCAAAAGTGCTCATTTTCAATATCGAGATCAAGTGTCCAAGATTAACGATACTCCAAGCATAAATTCCGAGATCTGGCCATTTCTTGATGATTATCCTAATTTCTAACTCCTAGAGGATATAACATCTTTTAAAATTCTTTTTTAGAATAATGATACCGTTCTATGAATATATTTTTAGAATAATGATGCCGTTCTATGAATATCTTTTTTAGAATAATGATACCATTCTATGAATATCTTTTTTAGAATAATGATACCGTTCTATGAATATCTTTTTTAGAATAATGATACCGTTCTATGAATATCTATTTATCCTTCTTTTTAGTAGTTTTTTCTCCTCACCAGGTAAATAAAAAATATATAATTGCAAAACGTGATTTAATGAAATATTTTGTATTAAATAAATGCATAATATCAATTTGTATTTTCAATGATTTATTCTTTTGGAATAAAAAAACCAAAGTAGCGGTTTAATGAGGGATTGAGACACAGCTTAGAGTCTTTTTAGTTTAGAATAAGAATGAAAAATGTTTTCTTTTATACAGATTTATATTTCTTTAACCAATAAAAAACACAAATATTGTATAATACTATTTGTTGCAACCGATGGAATTCCAATTTTTTGTAAAACTTTTTTGCATGCATTCGCTGAGTTTTTTTCTCAGAGTATATATGAATGTTTTTTTAGGTCACACTAAAACGTATTTGATTACAACTGTGGACAAAAAGACAGGAAAGTTTAATAAATATTTAATCTACATAGTATATATATATATGAAAAAGTAAAGAAACTGAGCTTTTGGCTAGAACCAGATTCAGACTGGATACATTTAATAGTTATTATTATAGACAAAGATTCCAAAAACTGCCTCCTAATCTAAGATGGTATCCCGGCCCAGACTGGATACATTTAATTAAAGTTATTATCACAGGCCTAGGATACAAAACTGCCTCCTAATCTAAGATGGTATCCAGACCCAGACTGGATACATTTAATTAAAGTTATTATTACATTCCTAGGATACAAAACTGCCTCCTAATCCAAGATGGTATCCAGACCCAGACTGGATATATTTAATTATAGTTATGAATACATTCCTAGGATGCAATACTGCCTCCTAATGTAAAAATGGTATCCAGACCCAGACTGGATACATTTAATTAAAGTTATTATTACAGGCCTAGGATACAAAACTGCCTCCTAATATAAGATGGTATCCAGACCCAGACTGGATACATTTCATTATAGTTATTATCACAGGCCTAGGATACAAAACTGCCTCCTAATCTAAGATGGTATCCAGACCCAGACTGGATACATTTAATTAAGTTATTAATACAGTCCTAGGATACAAAACTGCTTCCTAATCTAAGATGGTATTCAGACCCAGACTGGATATATTTAATTATAGTTATTAATACAGTCCTAGGATACAGAACTACCTCCTAATCTAAGATGGTATTCAGACCCAGACTGGATATATTTAATTATAGTTATTTATACATTCCTAGGATGCAATACTGCCTCCTAATGTAAGAATGGTATCCAGACCCAGACTGGATACATTTAATTATAGTTATAATTTTAGGCATAGGATACAAACCTGCCCCCAAATCTAAAAATGGTATCCAGACCCAGACTGGATACGATTATTCAAATACTGAAATTATTGAACCATTGATAGAACTTGTTACAGAAGGTAACAAAAAAACAAGCAATATTAGTCCTACCTCTGAAATATTTATCTTTAAAATGTCCAACATTCGAAATGTTCTATGAAAAGTCCATATATCCAAAGTTTCCATCTATGAAATGTCTTTCTATGAAAATTCCATCTATGAGATGTCCTATCTATGAAATGCCCATCTATGAAATGTCCTATCTATGAAATATCTTGCCATTAAATGTCCATCTATGAAAAGTCCATCTATGAGATGTCCTATCTATGAAATGTCCGTCTATGAAATGTCCATCCATGAAATGTCAAACTATGAAATGTTCATCTATAAAATGTCCATCTATGAAATGTCAAACTACGAAATGTCCATCTATGAAATGTCTCCATGAAAAGTCAGATTTATGACATTTCGCGTCAATAAAAGTTCTAGATCTATGAATTCATCCTACTATGTTAAGTCCTATCATGGAATGTACTATTCATGGAATTTCCTATTCATGAAATGTCCTTTTTATTTAATGCCCTATTTATTTAATGTCCTATCCATGAAATTTCCTTTTTATGAAATGTCCTATCTATGATATTTCCTATTCATGAAATGTCTTATTCATGGAATGTCCTATTTATAGAATGTCCTATTTATGAAATGTCCTATTCATAAAATGTCTTATTCATGAAATGTCCTATTCATAAAATGTCCTATTTATGAAATGTTTTATTCATGAAATGTCCTTTTCATGGAAAGTCCTATTTATGAAATGTCCTATTTATGGAATTTCCTATCCATAAAATGTCCTATTCACGGAATGTCCATGCATGAAATGTCCTATTCATGGAATGTCTTATCCCTTAAATATGTCCTATTCATGAAATGTCCCATTCATGAAAAGTTCTATTAATTAAATATGTCCTATTCATGAAATGTCCTATTCATGAAATATTCTATTCATGAAATGTCCTATTCATGGAATGTCCTCTCCATGGAATGTCCTATCCGTGGAATGTCCTATTTATGAAATGTCCTAGTCATGGAATGTCCTACCCATGGTATGTCCTATCCATGGAATGTCCTATTCATGGAATGTCCTACCCATGGAATTTCCTATTCATGAAATTTCCTATTCATGAAATGTCCAATCTACGAAATGTAATATCTACTGAATTATCTATTTTTGAAATGTTTTCCAATCCAAAAAATTAAAAAAGTTCAAGCTACAAAAAGTCCAATCTGTTAATTTTCATATCATTAAATGTCCTTTGAAATATCTAAGTCATTATTTAAAAAAAGATCCCTCTATTGAGTTTTCAATTTTCTATAAATATATGAAATGTCCTTGTTCTAAACTGTCTATGGAGTATTTTTCTATGACATTTTTGTTTATGAAAAATCCATGTCCATTATTTTTCCAAATGACTAATTATTGTAAGGAATTGTTTTTGAACTGTCTTACATACAGTCAGACCCATCAAACAGTATAATATGAAGAAGACAACATTAAAATAATGCTTAAAGGGAGTGTTCGCGAAAAATGAAAGGGGTATCGGCTTAATGCGATAAAAAAGGCTTTTGAACGCTACTAATCTTACTTCTATATGTTGCTTCTATATTAAAATATAATTAAAATAATGCTTAAGTTTATCGGATGTTGCTAAAAAGCAAATCATTTTATTAATACCTTATTAAAATCAAGTATGAAGTGAAATGGGTCTGTGTACACTGCGCAATTGCTGTGCCTCATGTTTATTGTTCAGTATTTATTATATGTTTTTTTAAAAATGTCCCATATTTACATGTCAGAATACTTATCAAACACTTTGTATGTAACCTAACATATAATAATTCTGCTAAACTTGAATAAAAATAATTAAGGAAAAATTGATGTGACAGAGGAATGTGATAAATGGCCGTTTAAAAAAGTTTGTCAACGTGTTATAATACATCCTGAACAACTTGGTAAAGGATCTGTTCTACTCCCAGGTTAAAACAATATTTAAACTTCAAATCAATAAAAACAAAAACAAAAATGTTTCTTTGTTTGAAGATCTAGAATGCAAATATTTAATTCATTTAAACTATTTTTTCGCCCATTTCTTGTTATGAAAATATTGTACAATATACTTTACTTAAAGGGAGTGTTCGCGAAAAATGAAAGGGGATTTGATTTTTTTACGGTCTAAGTCGTATGTTCCAACTTCCTCAATTTGTATGGGAGCTACGCTCTTTGGTATGAGACGTCTTTATCAATTTTCTCCTTAAGACGCAACAGATAGAAGTAAGATTAGTGGCGATCAAAAGCGCTTTTTTATCGCATTAAGCCTATACCCCCTTTCATTTTTCGCGAACACTCCCTTTAAGTGTTATTAACTTATACTTTAACACATGACAACATTTTTTTGTGTTACTGTTGAAAAGCTTTCATGTCATACAAAAAAACATAAAAACGTTACTTTTAGATTCTTAAATGTGTAAATTTGGGATTTTAGCGAGAGGGGGGGGGGGACTCCTATGGTTTGATTGTATCATCAATTAGATCTATTAAAAATGCAATGTGGGATACCGTCGTTTTCAGATTGGTTGCGTATTTGTTGAATATGATCTGTTTAATACTACAACTTTTATACAAAATTGCATTCATATTAATTTTCGTATGAACTTGACACAGTTTTATATCAATTTCTCTAGGCAGGAGCATCTATTTCATTTTTCCTTTAAAGTCCTTTTAATAAATCGGTAATGTTACGCGTAGATATTAAAAATTTTATTTTAATTTTTAAAAATCCGATTTCAATAAGTCTGTTCAGATCCTGTTACAAAATTGTCGAAATAGAGATTATTTTTATTTTTACCAACATTTACTCACTCCAGTTTGAAACTTTAGGCGCAAATATCACCGTTATTTTTAGATCAACAAAACTAACATTGGGCTCAATAAATAAAAAATCATACGTAGTTATTAAAAATGGTCTCAACTTGAAAGTCCGATTTCAAATGAGTTTGTAGACCCTTATTCCCCGTTTTTTTAGGACACCCCGCCTGTTTGTATTTTGTTATATATCAAAGCACAGTTCTGAAAAATTTGAGTTTTTGGCAAAGAATCAATTTGTTTAGGAAATATTGTGATGGACTATGTCGGTAAGGAACCTGGACATGATGATCAATTTATCTACAGTGGACTGAATGCTAAGATGAATATCCTATATGAACCAGGAGCAGGGATGAGTGGGATTCTAAAACACGGCAAACAAACCTTTCTATTGGAAAACTGCCAGGGACCGAATTTAATTAATTGGAAAGGTAACTGAACCACCTGCTGCCGGTTCAAATCTAGAATCACCGATTCAAATCTTTATTTGGTCCCCGTGAATCTCAAACTTTGAATCAATGATTCAAATTTGAATCGGCAGTAGTCAGTTTAGCGACAAACCTGTAATTCATTAAATGCGGTGTCAGGAGAAAGGGTATCTTTGGATTGAAATAGATTCAGAGAAGGCAAAACAAGATTGATCATTGATCAACAATATGTTAGTTCTTACATGAATAAATAAATATTATTGAAATCTTTTCTTTCTGAATTAACATGTTTTTCGATCAAACTTTTTGAAAAAAAAAATATCGTTTTTTAATGAACGAATTTTATTACTGAACGAACGAACTGAATGATCGTTCAAGTTCTAGGTATTAGACATATTCGGGGGAAATTGAACCGAAGTACGAATGTGGATTTGTTTTAAGTATTGGCCTCTATGGGGGGTAGTTCAAAACTTTAAAAACATTAATGTTTTTTTGACGTGTAATTTTGAGTATGTCAGAGTATGGGTTGAATTTTTGTTTGAAAAACTGGGTAGAAATGTAGCTCTGAAAGAGTCAAGGATTGGATTGAAAAAAGATGTTGAGTGGAAAAAAGTAGAGGTAACAAGTTTTTTTGAAAGAAATCACGGCGAATGTACTAGGAGAGCAGAAGTTGACCGGAGCTTTAGAGAGTTTGAATAGTTGGCAAGTGTCCAAGTTTGAGAGTCGGAGAGGGTATTCGGAGAGCAGAAGAACTTCAGAGCTTGGAGTTAAAGAATTAAATTTGTTTAAGATGTTGTTCGTTAAAAATAAGAATGTTAATGTTTAAGATGTACGCTTTTAAAAGTATAACTTTGTTGTTATTTTTTTTGTTTGGCAAGAGTCAAACTTTCTGCTAGGAGTTGAGAACAAAAAGGAGGTGTTGTTTATCTTGAATAAAACATGGCGGAAGGAAAAAGCCGGCCGGTTTCCCATTCCATTGAGAAATTTAATTTTCTAATGAGACGACGGATATCTTTGAAACCTAATGGTCTAATCTTTAAATCTAAACAAGCTGATAGTCCCCCAGTCTTGGCAACCTGATGGGGATAGTTTTCATGATCGTTGCAACCTGCATGATAAAGATTATCCCTTTATCTTTGCAACCTGTTCGAGGGAGGTCGAATTAAATAAAACATGGCGAAAAAAAGCCGGCCGGTTTCCAATCCCATTGCGAAATTAAATTTGCTAATGTGTTTGGACGACGGATATCTTTGAAACCTGATGGTGTAATCCTTAAATCTAAACAAACTGATAGTCCCTTAATCTTAGCATCTTTATGGGATAGTTTTCATATTGCTGCAACCTGATGGATGTTGACCCTTTATCTTGGTAACCTGTTGAGGGGAGGTTTTGATAAAAAGCCGAACGGTTTTTAATCACTCCGATGATTCTATTTTTTTTGAAATATTTCTATATTTTTTATCAACACTTCGCTCTGATAATCTCAAGGTTCTCCTCGAATATCGTCTTCCTCTCGGATGGGCATATCTTCTTGCGGTGCTATGGAAACGCCTCAACACGGAAACGTCTCAACACGGAAATGCCTCAAAAAAAAGCGGAAACCCCTCAAAAACCGGTTTTTTTGAGACGTTTCCGCAATTTCTGCAAGAAAAACGGAAATCCCTCAAAACCCAGTTTTTGAGGGGTTTCCTCTTTATTTTGAGGCGTTTCCTAAAATTTTTGAGGGGTTTCCGCTTTTCACCTGACAATTATTTTTGAGGAATTTCCCAATATTTTTGAGGGATTTCCCAATATTTTTGAGGCATTTCCGCAAAATTTTTGAGGCGTTTCCGTATTTTAAAAACTTGATTTAGTTGAGGTGTTTCCTCTTTTTTTTGAGGCGTTTCCGCAAA